AATCACCATTTTTATCTACTCACTGAACAGATCATCCCCACTGCTTGAAAGAAACATGAGCATCCAAGTTCCAAAACAGCAAAAAAATAAACCCCGAGTCCCTGGGAAGCTATTCTTGGCGGAGGGAACCCCCACCAGCGTAGGCGCTGCTTCCACAGGCCTGTCTGCAATAGGCTTCCCTCGGCACGGCTGCCGTCTGAAACACGGCTGCCCCGGCTAGACAGTTGGCGCTTACCCTGCTCAGTTCAGCTGCGGGACGTAGAGCTGCTGGCGGTTTGGGGACGCCACACAGGGACATCTGTGCACAGCACTGCCCGCCGATACTCTGCAAGAGCGTCCAGCCGTTCATCCCACCCCGCGCTCGCAGCAGAAACGCATGAGGCTGAACTGAGGCCCCGGCCAGCAGCGACTCAAACGGGTGGAAGGGGCCCCGAAGAAGCCAGGAGAGATGAATCAGATGTTGCCAGTGACGCCCTCAGAGCAGAGCCAGGCTTAGACTTGGCCAAAATGGAGAACTCCCAAGGTAGGGGCTGTATCTTGAGCCATGATGCGCCGTGTGCACGGGCGCTGAAAGCCGCAGGGGCTGCATAAGCTGCCAGCTGCGCATGAGCCCAGCACAACAGAAAGCTTCGCTTGCTCAGGGCTTCTGGGCGAGCACTGTGGGCAAGGGCAGCCCTTAGCGCAGCCGACTGAGGAACCCCAGAGCGTCACCCAGCTGTGCTGAGACAGCAGGAGGAAGCAGCCAGGCCGAGGGCAGGCCAGGGTACCGCACTGCGGGCTGCTCCGCGCTGACAGCTACGCGGCAGAGCCAGCGCGACCGCCCCTCACGCTGCTGGCTGTGCCAAGGCGGCGTCCACAGCGCCGAGCGCCTGTCAGAGGCACCTCCCGCTGCCCAGCCCTGCACCGCCCTGCCAGGGAGGCCGCATCGCCATCCGGAGCGGCAGCGGGCGGGCAAGACCCGGCACGACAGCGCCGGGAAGCGCTGCCGCCGAGCGGAGCAGGAAGGGCAGAGCCGCCCGCACAGGCCTGACGCAGAGCTAGAGCAACGCCCTGCGATCCCTGCAGTCCCTGCCTCGCCTCACGGGAGGCGGCCCTGCCATCCCCGCCTCGCCTCACCAGAGGCGGCAGCACTTCACACGGGCAGTTTCACAACTGGGAGTGCGAGCGAGGGAGGGCCGGCTCGCTAAGACACCGGGAACAACCCGGGACTCCTGCCCCGGCAGCCAACACGAGCTCTCGGGAACTCTGCTCGCCGCGGAGTCACTAACACTGCGACCTTGGACCCCCTTGTGACAACAGAGGGGTTCCCCTTCCCCCTGAGCTCCTACCCTGCCGCTTTGGAATGGCTGTTGTTGTTGTTGGACAAGGTGAAGTCAAATGAAAGGCAGTATTCAGGAGCTTATGTCACTCCTTAAACGTGATACATACAGTGAAGATGGTTAGATATATTGGAAGATTTTAACACAAGCCTTTTGTGTTTAGCTTATTGCTGAATAYGCTCTGGTAACATAAAAAGAAAAGTAAATGACTGCTAGAAACAGATGACACTCTGGATCCTTTAAAGGACACATCACCTTTACAATAGTGCTCTTGTAGCTCTTGTCACTTGCACACATTTACCTTAATTTCCCTCTGAAATTCATCCTGAATGTAGGACTGTGCTTTAGATTCCCTGCTTTTGTCACTGGAAAGACTATATGATGCTTTTAGCTATAATCGTAACACTAGATTCAAAGACCAAGAGTAAGATGCTGTCTGCCCCACACCACAAAGATCCTAAAAGAAAACTCTGGAGAGATGCAGAATCAGTAAAGAGGCTGTCAGTATTTTTCCTGTGGCCATACGAAACAACAGTCTGCTGGGAGGCTGACACCCAATATACTCCCTAAAGTGTTAAAAGATAATGTAGTCACCTGGTGGTCTCTGTCACTCCTTGGAAGAGGCACCTATTGCAGTGAATATCCAGAAATGGAAATTTGGGACGGCTGTCGAAGCTGCTACAGGGCAGACGGCCCATGCGCCCTCCTGTCGCTTGCCAYGGCCAATGATGAATCCAAGAGAAGCTGTTGGGATCACTCGTGAATTTCCCATCCCATCCAAACGCCCTCACCTCCAGGCTGAGCTCCTCAACAGCCCGGTGAGCGTTTTGTACACAGCACATGTAGCACTGCACCAAAAGCTGGGCACGCTGCCAGTGAACGTGACAGGGTCCTGCGCGCTGGCAGGCACTGCCGGACGCGGCCGTCGGGCTCCAGAGCTCGTCATACCGCGCTGAGAAAGCCCAGCGGGCACATTCGAGACTACCCTCGCCTCAGGAGGTCCAAGGTCTGGCAACCAGACTAGGGAGTTAGCAGCTAATGCCGGGAACATTCTTCACATACAAGAGTACGTGGCATCTGACCCCTCCTTCCAGAAAGGGACCTATTTATTTCGCATTAGTCTTGAAAAAGTGCTTCCCTTTACTTCACGGGCACCGACCTGGCACAAAACCAGYCACAGCTTCCCGGGAAGATCTGTCTTAAGAGTTCAGCTGCCTGCTTTACTGTGGAGCTAAGAAGCTGTTTGGAATCAGGGGTTGCAGAAGGAAAGCACTTCTGCCACAGACAGGACTGACCACAGCACTGACTTCAGAGCCTGCCCTGTTCCTCCCGAGAGTCTCTCTTCCACAGGGCTAAAGCTGAAAGGGTTGAAGATGCCCAACCAACTGACTGCCCAGGAAAAAAAGTGTTCCAAATTCTCAGTTTCACTCTGGTTTAAAAAAAAAAWTWAAWTWAAAAAAAAAAGCAATCTTGAAAATCCTGAAATACCTAATTAACAAGAAAGAATTCTACAGYGCAGCCTCCATATGGCTTTATAGTCCACTGGCATCTGATGGACAACAGGTAATGGACAAAAATCCCTTGGCTGCTCTTGAAGTATGCACATTTCTGTGAGCATTACACGCAATGCTGATGAGGAATTTCACACACAGACTCACAGAACAGCTGAGGTTGGAAGGGACCTCTAGAGATCACCTAGTCCATCCCTCCCGCTCCAGCAGGGACACTCAGAGCACATTTGCAGGTTTGATGGCAAGCATCAATCTAACTAAATCTCTCTCTAAATTAAGATCAGTATCAAGAAAGGACACAGGCTTTTCCAGGAGTGTTTAAGAAAGAGAGTGAAAACTCAACCACAAGCAGTAAACAAGAGCAGAGGGTTGCCCTTTACCACTTTTTCAGGGCCAGGCTGGCTAACCTCTCTCCCTGTTCTGTTATTTAYGTGTCCTTTTCCCCTTGGACTGCCTCTAGACTGACGGAAGGAAGGATGTTTCACAGGAAGGAAGGACTGACTTGGCTCTATGAAGACTGGACCACAATGCTTCCCTCACTGAGCTGTTGCTTTCTACAGGAAGAGAAGAAGTGGRAAAACCCGGGTTTTCTGTCCAAATCTTGTTACCAGTGAGCAGATGAAGTCAACCCAAGTATCAGAGAAGCCAGACAAGCCCCCTGCTCCAAGCAGACAAGTACCAAAGCCAGAGCAGGTCACTCAGGTTCTGAAAACCAACAAGGATGGAGATGCCACAAGCTCTGGGGCCCTGTGTTTAGCCAGTCTCACAGTAAAGATCTAGTTTCCTTTACATCYAGTCGGAATTTCCTGCGTTGCCTCTTGCCCTTTCACTGTGCACCTCTGAGAAGCCTTCATCTGTGCTGCAATACCTGCTTAGACAGTGAAGACTGAAATCATATCCCCCCCTCATCGTTTCTTTTCCAGGAAGCCCGGCGCTCACAGCCTCTTGTGCCTCGTGCTCCAGTCTGCAACAGAACTGGTGGCCCCTCCACTGAGTACCTGGGACAGAACAGCCCGTCCACCTTCCACCAGCAGCACCAACCACCTTCCTTGACCTTGGCTGTATTCTTATTCACACAGCCCTTACTCACCCTCGCTCACACGTTGGCAGCTCCTGCTCATCGTGCTGCCCACCGAGCCCTTTCGGGGCCGAGGCCGGCGCTCCCTGTCCCCGATCCGCTCCACGGCAGCTGCCGATAGGGCTGCCCCAGCYGTGGCCTGAGGCAGAGGGCACGGGGCGGCCACAGGAATTTCTGAGGCGGGAAAGCCCTGGCCAGACAGCAGCTCCTCTTTCTCTCACTGGCCGTTGATCCGAACCGCACACGGAGCGTGGCCGCAAGGCAGGGACTGTGCTGAGCGCTCGGAGCCGGGGGAGCTCGGGCAGCACAGAAGTCCCTGGAGATGCCCAAGGTAGACGGGAGCTCTGCACCGCAAACCAGCCCAAAACGCAAGCAGCAAAGGCAAAACTGAACACTGCTGTCTTACAGGTAACAGTTTCAGAGAAGAAGGCTTCTGTCACAAGGCAGCCAGGGGAAACGTGCTGGAGGAATCGCTCTTGCTGCTCTGAGGCGGCGCCAGAAGACRCAAGCCAGTCCTGCATCCATATTTAATACAGGTGTTGGGTGGCTCAGGTTTGCCAGCAATACCCTGGAGAGAGTAGGCACCAACGCGGCCGCCCCGGGGCTGCGGCCCCCAGCACCTCTCCCGCCTTTGCCCTCACCCRGGCGGCTTCGCAGCCGCCCCGCGCCCCCCTCTGCTCTGCTCCCCCCACGGCACCTCTGCCTCCGCTTGTCTCCGCGCTTCAAAGGGAGCCTCTTACTGCCCTGCTCTGCCACTGCAAAAGCTGCTTGAACGCGTCGTGCAGATCATTTAAAAGCATATGCAGTTTGCGACATTTTCCTGCCAAATCTTGCACGCAAACACCAACAACTCCATGCTAGAGTGCACACCTTAACATTAAGGCAACAATCACATTTAACAACATGAAAAAGACAATCCTAAATAGTAGATAAACAGGATGTTATATAAACAACAGGGTGAGACGCTTCACTATGATTTTTTTGTCTGCTGTTAATCTCTCATCATAATGCCGTACTGGCAATTGCTCATTATCACACAGAAATTATTGCTGTCCATTAAAGATAGCCGTATTTCCAAACGATTCACCCTACCTGAAGAATAAGGGTTTCTTTCAGGTCTGCTCCAGATCCTAGGTCAGGAATCTCCGCTCTATTCTGGTAAATTCCATTAAGATATCACATGTAACAACAAGTTCTTGAAGTGGTTTCATCAGATTTTTCCCTTTAAGGTAACCCACTGCACTCCCACGTGAGGCAGAGGCACCTCCAAGACAGCAGGCAGCTGGAAGTGCTGCAGTGAAATCAGATGATCAGCAGTGCCTCTGCAGCCTCCTTCCCACCTCGCGAAGGGCATCTGTGATTTCCGAGCTAACCCAAMGGGGAAGCCACAATTCGCTTGAAATTCCAGGGAGCACATACAAGAGYAATTTAAATAAAAGCAATCGGGAGAAGGGATGTGAGAATCTGAGTCCGGCAGCCCCTGCTGCAACGTGCTAACCAGCGTGCAGCACTGCAGCAAAATCCCCCCACTCTGCTGCATGCAGCACTGCGTGCGGGGCTGCGAGCTGCAGTCAGCACAGGGTTACCTTGCAAAGAGGCTGCTGCCGACGCAGGGGATAACAAAGGACAGCAAACCAAGAAAGAAAGTTTTTGGTGTTTTTGCTACAAAATAATCTTGTTTGCATTCACAAAAAACAAAAATCCATAAAAATCTTTGTAATTTAAAGTTTCAAACCTCAAAAATGGCTAAACTAATGGGCTAATTTGATACTAACTGAGGTTTGATCCTAAGGCTTGGGCTGTATGGGAGGTCAAACGATGACTTAATCGCTGACTTAAAAAACAATTAGCTAAGTAAATTCAGAACCCTAAGCGTTTACATGCAGGGGCTAGTAAGAGCAGCGCAGATCACAATCGTTAACGTCTGCAACTTTCCCCTCCATAACTGGAATGGGCCAAAGTGCCCCAAAGGCCTCCCCAAAGGAGCCAAACGCCCCAAACGCCTCCCCAAAGGGGCCAAGCGGAAGGGAAGGCGAGGCAGCGTCTGCACTCCGAGGGGTAGCAGTGGGAAAGCCTCCAGCTCACGGCAAGGTTTCACTCCCCAGACCCCTTGGATGCCCGCTCGAGGTTGGCCAACCCCATCCCAAGCAAGCTCAGCAGAAGAGGACCCCCCGCAACGGCAAATCTTGGGAGTTGCTTTGCAAATGAAACAACCACGTTTGCTGAAATTGGCACAAGTCTGAGAAATGGGGCCAAGTTCATTCGGAGGTAGCAGGTCCAGGATATTTTTCTCTRAAGTGTCTAAAAGCGAAGCCTGCCCCGCTGCCTGCCAAAGCTGGGGATCACTTTGGGCGAGCAGGAGCTTTGCCGACCCGGCCGTGCCACCTAATGCCACTATGGGGGTTCAGACACGGGACCTCAGGCCACCGGTAGCCTTCCTCATCTGCATCATGCCCTCATCAGCCCCTGACCTGCCCAAGATGTCATACAGAAAAGAARAACTTATCAGCTGATGTTTCCTTAGGCTTAATAGCTGTGTATTTTGGCAACCTTGTTCCTAGGGAATAAATGAGCCGTTTCTTTCCTGGGGCTACCTGCACAGAGCCTAACGGGTTCTGCCGTCCCTGCTCATCCAGCTCTCCCCGCTCCTGCCACACATGCAGCAAGAGCGGGCACAGCAGGCGACTGAGGGGGATAACGGGCACTGATTCCCATCTGCTAATCACCCACTCTCCTTTCAACCCGTTACGATAAGAGCAAATTGCCCTTTGTGGGATTGGGTTTCTGTGAGAACCTCAAACCTTAGGCCGTGGAGCTGCAATATTTGCTGTACGACCGCGGCAAGTAGGCAACGGTAGCATGGCAAAAGGAAAGAGAAGCTGCTTCTTGGCGGCGCGCACTCCTGCGCGGGCTCGCCGTGCTGCACCCAGGCCTCCTGCTCCACCCCGATGAGGGCTAAAGAGCACTGGCCTGAACTGCGTCTTACAAGAGCTTATCTTCCCGGATTACGGCCTTGCAGGGGAACATCACTGACTAAAATCTACGAGGAAAAACRCAGAGATACTGCCATGGTTTGGCGGCAAAAATCCAACCATGTCATTTCTGTTTGCTCACCTCAATAAGCTGAAGCTACACAAACCTCTTTGGCCCTTACRGAAGGGCACGTGCACAGCTCTTTGGAGGATTTATGGCCCCGGTTCTAACGCCAGCCAACAGTGAATGGTTTGTGGGTTTTGCACCTAGCTGAACCCGTCACCATTTAAATTTTAAGCCCCCAAATCTAGAGAGATGCGATAGTCAACAGGGTCTGCAGCGCATGTCTGAATCACCACGCAGAGAACCTGCCTTCATCTGCTAACCTGGGCAAAGAGCAGAGCCTGGCAAGGTGAAACGAACCCCATGCCTGGTGAGCCAGCAGAAAAGAAGGCATCAAACAGAGAATCAGAGCCTCCAAAGATGCCTTTGGATGTCACATCCAAACATTACCCAAGAAAGAAGACAATTTGTAAGGCCGCAATTTAGTGAAAAATACGCCACTGCTTACAATGATCACGCGAATCTTACAAAGCACACGGCTTCTTACCTGCATCAAACCCACCCCTTTTGGTCGCCCGGCTCGGTTACGCCCGTCGCACTATTTGGAAGATGCAAGTGAAACCAGGTGAGGGGCAGGTTTCAGAGGCGACGAGCACGGCCTCCGAGCGCCCGTGCCCAACGTTACGACTCGGTCACGCTCCGAAGGGTACTCCCTACCCCATCACAAACAACAAAATAACTTGGCCTGGGTTACGACTAAAGGCAYGTTAGGCTTTCAGAAGCTACCTCTCTGGTCAGAGATGGCCTTGAGAGTACTCTTTTTGAACAAGAGCTATTTTTGCCTACGCTTGTTAACCCGCATTAAACACGTGCATTCAGTAACGTGCTCTCTATTTGGCCGAATTTTCAGAGCGGAAAGAAAGGCAACGGGGCTGACAGGGAGCCTGCCTTGCCAAAATTTTTCTTGGCTTCCTATAAAGCAGAAGCCAGTCAGACTGCCCAAACCAAGATGAGAAAACGTTGCTATTGACAGGATTATGAGGGAGCTGAGGCCGAAGGGCCAGACAAGAACCCAGGCATTACAGAGTCAGCTAACCTGCCTAGTTTTTTGCATCTTCTCTATCTGTTTTTACCCTGATTTGCTTTGGATTTTACAGCCACGCATCTCAAAAAYGCACCCACCACCTCTTAAAGCCCTCCTGCCCTCTCTGTAGCTGCCCCATCCAGGGCGCCACCAAGCAGGGGRCACAGGCAACACTCCCCATGACCGGGAGCATCCCGGCCTCCTGCTGCCGTTTGGAGCCTCCCTTAGCTCTCGCTTGGCACAGGCCGAGCTCCCGGGGAGAAGGCAGCTCGTTTTCTGCTTCGTGAACAAGCTGAATCAGACCAGCGAGGAAGGGCCGGAGCACCAAGGCGGCCGTCCCCGGGGCCGCGGAGCCACCACAATGGGGGAATTATCCTCCCGCGAGGGGCAGCGCTGCCCGCAGCCCTTAACTCACCAAACTGTGTCCCCGCTGTTGGGTTTGCACCCACATCAGAGCGGAAGGAGCGAGGAAYGCTCTCCTGTCCTTCCCTATCAGCCCCACAAGGAAACACAGGGAAAAGCTTGCAGGCATACGGTGAGTAACTGCATCCTTGGTGAACTCTGGACAGCTGAGACAACTCTAGCATCATAAAAATCCTTCCCCCTTTGACTATCTTCACTCTACGTGCCGTAGCGAAGAGAGGTGCTGCACTGTCTAGACAGCCGCTCTGCTCAAAACTTCCTAAGGAAGAAGATCAGCACCCTTTGCAGTTGCTACCACTATTCCCAGTGATTCCGGTGGGTAATTTTAACAGCATTTACCCACTAATTAAAATCTAATCCTGCCAGGCCTAACTGTAATGTGCTGATCGGTCACTTTAACTTGACTTAATTGGTTTAAGGGCTTCAGATGCAGCATTAGAGGAAAGGGGAAAAAAAAAAAAAAAAAAAAAAGAGAGAGAAGAAAAAGAGTTTGTAATGCAAGTGTGGTCACCATGGACAACCACCAAAGATCTTCTATTCCCCTGGAGAGGCTTCAAGAAGAATTTGCCTCAAATACCAGACATGGGACCGCTGGCAAAGCCAAAGGCAGTATTTTTGTAAGTTTAGTGCCAAGAAAGGAGTTTTTACAGAGTTTTGGTTTTTTTTTTTTAAATCTAATCGTTCCGTCAGGACAAGGGAGCAAAGAGGACTGCAGCGATTAACAAAGGCAGGGCATCAGAAAAGCTCCTGCACAAAAGGGAGAACACGCTTAATTATACAATAAAGGTGGGTGGGCTGGGAAAAGAAAAAAAAAAAAAAAAAAGAGAGAGAATTTAGATAAATAAACAACGACCGGGAAAGGGAGTATGTAGCTGAGCAATTAAAGAAAACGCTGATGCCTTTTCACAGGGATCCCATGCCTTAAGTGCCTGGGAGTCCCAGAAGAGTCAACTAAGCCCCAGCTGTAAGGAGAGCAGSGCCAGGAGGACCCACGAACGCAGCGCCCGGGCTGCCGTGGGTGTCATGGGGCATTTCCTCCTTAACCGGCATTCGGAGCGGAGGGAAAAAACCCAAAAATCTCATTTGGGAAGCAGCTGCGGGTGCTGGCGCGGGCCCCTCGCGGCAGCGCCCGGGAGGCTCCAAGGGGCCGCGCTGCGCGGCGCGTTTCCCACGGCGGCGGGGGCGGCCGGGCCGC